CGCAAAAAAATTGCAACTTTTTTACAATGAGGGGGTCAGATGTTGTTAAATAATTGAAATTTTCTTGCAAGAAAGTTGAAATCATCTGGAAATTTTATTTCATTTAAATTGCAATTTTTTCGTTGCAAAATGCTACTTGGGCAACGATTCTCAGCACCCATCGGACCAATTTTGAATTTGTCTGAACTATTCGAGTGGATTTGATACACATCTGGATGAAAATAACTCGAATTTGCTAAATTTCAGCCGTTGGGCAATGACTGTTAGAGTCCCTTTACACCCTGAGTTAAGACAACTCGATTATCAGCTGACTGGCAACCGGCCTTGGCTGGCCATCACTGGCCATGGAGGCACAAACGAGTGCACCCAAACGAACGATATTGAGGGATAAGGATCAGGAATCCTGCGATGTCTGTCACACAAAAACAACAACATCAACAAATTGATCACATAAAAAGAAAATGAGATTGGTTTTTGAATAATTTCTTAATTAATTTTCAATTTGGACTAATGGAAATAACAATTTACTCTTGATAAACCACAATTAGGTAATATTTTCATTATTCTTGTTCACATTCGAGTCACCGCCATCTTAGTGCACTCGCTTGTGACTCCAGGAGCGAGAACAAATCAGAATTGGATTTTTTCCAGACCACTTTCAGCCCAACCAAAAGTGAGTTGTCGTAACTCTGGGTATAAAGGGACTCTAATGACTGTTGACTTCCACATTCAGCTGCTAAATTCAGCGTCTGATTGCGGCATGATTCTTTCGACTAGGTACTAGAGTCCCTTTATACTGAGAGTCAAGACAATAGTGTGAATCCATTTCTGATTGGTTCCCGTGTTTCAGGCCTTCATGGTGTCACAAACGGGAATAAAGATTACATTTTCACCGATTGCAAAGATTATAATCTGAAATGGACCGGGGAATTACGAGTTCGGCAAGGAACAAACGGAATGAGAGAAGGAACAGAGAAAGGAATTTGAGAATGGGCTGATCAAAGATTACAAAAAACGTTCAATTTCTGTAATCTTTATTCCCGTTAGTGACTCCATGAAGCGTCCAGCCCACCGACAAACTAGGGGCCTCAAAGAGGCTCATCGATGGAACTGTTGACTGTTGCCTTTCAAAGATCGTCGGGCCGACGATCTTTGAGGGTAACCGATGTGTTCGGGATACATCACAGATCAGATCTTGAAATTTTCAAGGCATTTCGTGCAGAAATGGCTGAGAAATAGAAGAATTAGTGCCAGTTTGAGAGCCCCAGTTTGTACGTGGGCTGGACGCTTGAGGGGGTGTTGTCTTTACTCTCAGTATAAAGGGACTTTATCGACTACGGTCTCAGGTTCCAAACAATTGGCTGTCCTTGTTGCACTGTAATGGCGTTTCCCCGTAAGAAACGACTTTCAAATTTCAAAACGAATGAGGGTGCTCGAAACTTGGTGGCCCTAAGAAGGGCCGTTTTAGAGAGTGAAGAGCTGGAGCAGGTCTAAGCGGTGCTGGAACAAGCGGGAGCGCTGGAGGCAGTGCCGGAACGTGTGGCCGCGGGACAGTGTCAACGTAAGGTGAAGCAAGGTGCTGAGGGTCGGCCGCTATATAGCGCCGTGCGCTGGGAGCGGGAGCCAATGGGAGGCTAGATCGGTGAGCGCGGCAGTGCGAGGCGCTGATTGGCCGAGAGAGTGGCAGGAAAGCTCGGTGAGCTTGAGTCGCCACAGCAGCCCCCTGGGAAGTGACGGAGTCACGTTTCTGGTCAAAGAGCTGGGACCAGAAAATGGGCTGAAACAAAGTGAGAGAAACATTGGCTTGTTAGTAAAATCACTTCCCCACGAGTGTGGAGGGTGGAAAGCGAAATTGGACGCGTCGTCCAGAGCGTGTCTTGTAGAATTCTTCATTCGCTGGTTTTGGTGTCTCAACTACAGGTTTCGGTATCTTAACTTCTGCTTCGCTGGGCGGGGCGGGTTGGACTTGCGGTGCAGCCGGGCCTGGGAGTTCTTTCGGAACCTGAGTCTTGACGGCAGGGATTTCGTTGGCCATGAGGTAGGCTGGTTTGACCCTGTCAATGGAGACACGTGATTCCTTGCCCTTAATCATCAGGGTGACTGTTTTATCGTCACGGCGGATGACAGGGTGTGGTCCTGAGAAAGGAGGTTGGAGAGAGCGCCGAACCGTGTCATCTCTAAGAAAGACATGATCGCAAGTTGCGAGGTCTTTGAAGATGAAGGTGTTGGGCTGGCAATGGCGTGACGCAGGAGTAGGTCGGAGGGTGGCCATTTGTTTGCGGAGTCGGTTGACAAATTCAGAAGGTTCTTCTTGGTCACTAGCAGTGCTAGGAGCTAGGAGTTCGCCGGGTAGTCGGAGAGGTTCTCCGTAGAGTAACTCGGCTGGTGAGGCTTTGATGTCTTCTTTGAAACTGGAACGGATTCCAAGGAGCACTATGGGTAGAGCTTCAACCCAGGTTGTATCAGGGTGACACATAAGAGCTGCTTTCAGGTGCCGGTGTAAGCGTTCGATCATGCCGTTGGCGATTGGATGATATGCTGTAGTTCTCGGCCGTTCTGTGCCCAAGGTTTTGCCAAGTGAGCGATAGAGTTGAGACTCAAATTGGCGACCTTGGTCGGTAGTGATGCGGACGGGTGAACCAAAGCGGGAGATCCAGCAGTTGAGGAGTCCATCTGCAACTTCGTCAGCGGTGATGCCTTGAAGGGGCCAAACTTCAGGCCAGCGGGTGAAACGGTCTACTGCGGTGAGGCAGTAGCGGTAACCTTTGGAGTAAAGCAGAGGGCCGATTAGATCTATATGCACATGTTGGAAGCGGTTTGAAACAGCTGGGAAAGTTCCAAAAGGGGCTTGAACATGGCGTGAGACTTTGGCACGTTGGCAGGCTGCGCAGGATCGAGCCCAGGTGCGGCAATCTTTCCGCGCGTTAGGCCAGATAAACCGGGAAGACACAAGTTGTGCTGAAGCCTTGATGCCAGGATGACTGAGTCCGTGAATTGAGTCAAAGACTTGGCGCCGGAGTCCAGAAGGCACGTAAGGACGTGGCTTGGGCGTGCTTGTATCGCAGTACAGTTGTACGTCTGAGCCAGGGATGGGAACCAGTTCCAACTTAAGTGACTGCTGGTCCTTGGAAGGTTTCAGAAGTTCTGCGAGTTCGGTGTCGTCTCTTTGGTCCTTAGCGAGTGTGTAGAAGTCCACTGTGTTAGGCAGAGAGACGGCTTCAACTCGTGAAAAGGCATCAGTGACAACGTTGGCTGATCCAGGGATGTACTGGATGTCGGTGGTAAATTGTGAGATGAACGAAAGTTGGTTCATCTGGACAGGTGGAAGCTTCTCCTTCTTCTGCGTGAAAGCATGGGTTAGCGGTTTGTGATCTGTGAACACGGTGAAATGCTGTGCTTCAAGTGCAGGACGGAAATGCTGGATAGCTTCATAGACCCCAAGTAGTTCTCTGTGAGGCGTGGGCCATTCTTGCTGTTTTGGCGTGAGTTTCTTGGAGAAGAAACCGAGGGGTTGCCAGACATCATTAACTTTTTGCTGAAGGCAGCCACCTACGCTCTGTTTTGAGGCGTCAGTGAAGAGACCTATGCTGAGCGGAGCGTCTGATACAGGGTGAGCTAGGAGAGTGGCGTCTCCGAGGCTCTTTTTGCAAGCTTCAAAGTCTGCTAGCAGGGACGGTGTCCAGTTGATCGGCTTGTTTCCTTTGAGGCCAGAAAGAGAGGCGTGTAGGGCGGCTTGGTAAGCAGCGGCTTTGGGCAGGAAACGTCGGTAGAAGTTGACCATGCCTAGAAACCTTCGGAGTCCCTTGGCGTCTTTCGGAGGCGGAAATTCCATCAGGGCGGTGATTCTGTCTGGAAGCGGGCGGATGCCTTCAGCGGAAACTTCGTAGCCGAGAAAAGATAGAGAGGGCACGCTGAATACACTTTTCTTGGCGTTGATGAGTATGCCATACTCAGAGAGTCGTTGGAATAGGATCCTCAAGTGTACGTCATGTTCAGCTTGTGTGCGGCTGTAGATCAGGATATCGTCGAGGTACGCAAAGCAAAAGTCGAGACCTTGCAGTACTTCATCGATAAATCTTTGAAATGTTTGGCCTGCGTTCCGTAAGCCGAAGCTCATGTATGGGAACTCGAAAAGACCAAACGGTGTTGTGATGGCCGTTTTCGGGATGTCGTCAGGGTTGACTGGTATCTGAGTGTAGGCCTTCACTAGGTCAATCTTGGAGAACACTTTGCATCCTCCCAGATTTTGACTGAAGTCATGGATGTGCCGGACTGGGTATTTGTCGGGGATTGTGCGTGCGTTCAGCGCGCGGTAATCTCCGCATGGACGCCAGCCGTCGGGTTTCTTGGGTACCATGTGCAAGGGAGAGGCCCAAGGGCTCTCGGAGCGTCTTGCAGTACCGTCCTTGACCATCGCTTCAAATTCGGCTTTGGCGATGCGAAGTCGATCAGCCAGGAGTCTTCGTGGACGACAGGATTCTGGAGGGCCAGGGGTCGTCCGAATGTAATGGCAAGTGGAATGCTTGGGCTGTCTGGAAACATCGGATGGGCGGGTGAGCTCAGGGAACTCGGCCAGGATTGCGCAATCTTCGGAGGCGGTGACAGCCTTGACGCTTTCTTGAAAAACTTTTGCCGGTTGGCAGTGCGTTTTGAGTCCTGTGATATTGTCCACCAGAGTCTTGTTGTGACAGTCAGGAAGCAGCTGGAACTGAGCAAGGAAATCGGAACCAATGATCGGGGTTGCAACGTCGGCGATGACAAACTTCCAGTCAAAATCACGGCGTAAACCGAGGTGTAGATTGAGTGGAATGTGACCATAATCCGGATTGTAGAGTCATTTGCTGCGGTGAGTTCATAGCCAGTATCTTGCAAATTTTGCTGGACGAACCGCCGGGGGTAGCAGGAGACGTCTGAGCCAGTGTCGACCAGAAATCGCTTCTTGCTGCGGGCGTCAGTGACAAAGAGGCGGTTGGATTCTGTGGAGCAACCAGCGGCCGCCACTACTGGTTGCCGGTGGAGTTTGTCGGCGTGGACTTAGGCTTGTAACTGCAAGGTTGACGGCATGCACGTGCTTCATCGCCAAACTTGTGATGGTAAAAGCAGACACCATTACGACGGTCATTTTCTGAGCGGGAACGAGAGCGTGACCGTGAGCGAGACAGGTCGCGATGCAACTTTTTCTGACCCATTTCAAGCTGGTCGAGTCGTTCTGTCAAAGCTAAAAGCATCTTTTCCAGTTTGGATGTTTGAGGCTCAGGTGGTGCGGTAGCGGCAGCGGCACAGACGGATGGAGCCGGGACAACTTTCAAAATTCGGTCTGCGATTTTGGCCAGTTCATCAATTGACGTTTCTCGGGAATGCGTCTGTAAGATAGCTTGTGCTTGGCGAGGTAAACGTTGCAGCCAGAGAGTCTTCATGAGTTGCTCATCTACTTTCGTAGTGCCAGTTAACGCTTTCAGCCTACGCAAAAATTGCGAAGGTGTACTATCGCCAAGGTCTGCTTCAGTGAGTAGTTGTCGAACGCGGTGCGTTTCGGATTTAGACAGGCGAAGAATCAGCTCGGCTTTTAGCTTGGAGTATGGCGTGTCAGTGGGAGGTGATACGAGAATGTCCTCCACTTCGTTAGCAACACGAGTTTCCAATTGAGATGATACGAGTGAGTATCGCATCATCTCGTTTGAAATGTTCCAAACTGTAAAAACGGATTCTACCTGAGAAAACCATAGCTGCGGTTTTTCCAGATTAAAAGGAGGTAGCTTGATGTTTTTCTTCTCACCAGTGATGGTGGTGGCGGGTTGCCTTTCAGCGAGCTTCGCTTGGTAGTAATTCATTTCCTCTCGCATTATTTTCATCTGGTCGAGGAGGGCCAGATTTTTGTCGTTCGCTGCCTTGAGAGCTGGATCGATATTGTCGGAATTCTCTCCTCCTGTAGCCATGCTGAGGAGTGTCCAATTGTTTGAGGAAGCGGTGACTTTCAGTGGCAATGGAATGATGATGGTAGTGAGCTACGCTGCAAAAGGTGACAATGTCCGTGAGAGATTGTTCAGAAGGATAGGCGTGTTCGGAGTCGGAGGTCACCACTGAGGGTGCTCGAAACTTGGTGGCCCTAAGAAGGGCCGTTTTAGAGAGTGAAGAGCTGGAGCAGGTCTGAGCGGTGCTGGAACAAGCGGGAGCGCTGGAGGCAGTGCCGGAACGTGTGGCCGCGGGACAGTGTCAACGTACGGTGAAGCAAGGTGCTGAGGGTCGGCCGCTATATAGCGCCGTGCGCTGGGAGCGGGAGCCAATGGGAGGCTAGATCGGTGAGCGCGGCAGTGCGAGGCGCTGATTGGCCGAGAGAGTGGCAGGAAAGCTCGGTGAGCTTGAGTCGCCACACGAATTTTCGACCTTTCGTAGCACGATAATATATCAGAGAGAAAATAAAACTTTCCCTTTGGCTTTCTAGCAGTTTCGCCAGAGGGCGGCACTTCCCCAGTGGTTCTGGACGGCGCATCTCTGATCGGTTGCAGTTGCCGAATGAATCGACCAATCAGAGATGGCGCGCCCTGAGCCGCTAGGGGGAGGGTGTTCTTTGGCGGGAAGAGTCAGTTGTTGTAGTTTGACTGAGGCATTATTGAATAATAAAGCTCAACGCAAATAGAAGGGACACTCGCGTAAGCGGCCGTTGTGACTCTCGCCTGCTGTGTCCAAGGTTTGGTTAGGTCCTGTTGCTCTGTACTTTCCTGAACCCGTCAGCTCCTTGCAAGGTTGTCAACGGAATAGTAGGGCCCAGCTAATTGCAGGGTTGCCAAATGTAATCGGTGATGCCAAAGAAGAGTCTGATGTTTTGTGAGTGTAAAAGTCACTGCCACAGAGTAAAAGAGTTTAAGTATCAAAATTAATGTAACGAAAACGATTTCCACAGCCTCGTCGTGCTCATGCTGGCCAGAAGACTGATAAAATCACATGTGATCAGCTACAGTTAGAGGTGCTCTGAGGTCTGAAAAAGCTGTACTTTTTAGGGATGGTCGAAAATTTAGATATTCGAATATTCGATATTCGAATTATCAGCACCGAGGTAATCGCATCACATTCGAATATTCGCTTCCGAAGTATTCGCAATCGCAAATTCGAATATTCGAATAATCGCATTCAAAAGTATGAAGAGTGTCAATAAATCAAAAATCGAAGCAATAATCGAAAATATTCGAATATTCGCTTCCGAAGTATTCGCAATCGCAAGATTCGAATTCTCAAATAATCGCAATAATCGCATTCGAAAAGTTTCGAATATTCGAATAATCGCACGGGGATGGACGAATATCGAATTCGAATGCGATTATTCGAATTTCGAATGCGATTATTCGAATTTCGAATGCGATTATTGCAATTATTTGAGAATTCGAATCGTGCGATTGCGAATACTTCGGAAGTGAGTATTCGAATATTTCCGATTATTGTTTCGATTTTTGATTTTTTATGAACCATGAGAGAAATATGACACTTATAACTAACACGGAATCATTTCCGTGTGGAGTTGTGGACGAATTTCAATTAATAACGAGATTAACGATAGGGATGGATGGTTATCGAATTCGAATGCGATTATTCGAATACACGAATTTGCGATTTCGAATACTTCGGAACCGAATATTTAAATGTGATGCGATTATCTCAGTGCTGATAATTCGAAAATCGAATATTCGATTATCTAAATATTCGACCATCCCTACAACACGGCACACAACAACAGGTCGCCCATATGCAATTTTTTTGGAATACCCGGTTCCCGCGTATCACATGACTAGTCACGTGATATTTTGACGGAACGTTTTCCGGCGTCTGCCTTTGGCCCAAAATGGATGCGGACAAACTGGATGCGGCGTACCGCATCCACAAATAAAATACGCTTCGTCGTTTCCTCCGTCGGGTTCATGCGGGCGCTGTAACCCGACTTTCGCGGGAAATCAAACTTTCTGATTTTGGCGCTGTTTATTTTCGGTTAAACTTGCGAATTTCGTGTTTGCCCCATTGTCACAAGCTGTACTTCATTTTTTCACTATGAATTGATTCAATAAAATATTATTACTCTTTTATCCCGTGTATGTTCCACAATTTTTCCACGATATACGAGGGGCGTTCAATAAGTAAGTATCCCCCCTCTCTAAAATCCATTAAAATGGACCAATTTTAAAAGACTTGGGCTCAAAATCTTCCTTAGGATATTTTGAGTTCAACGAAACAAACCGCAACAAAATCGGACCATGTGCGGCCGAACGCGAGCCGTTTGAACGCGCCGAGGTGCTCGACGCTCCCGCCGAATCCGCGAGGATTTGAAGTCCGCTACAGGAGAAGAGCTTCTCTGCCAAAGCCCTAGTCGTTCATCACTGACGAAAAATCAAAGAAATTTTTGTAGAATAAGGGGCTTACCTCACTTCTTCACATAACCAGCTCGATCCAAGCAAGTCTGATACTGAGACTAAGACTAAGAGAACAGCTTTTGGATGCCTCGTGCGTGGAAGTCTTTCAGCTGACCGCGGATGAAAGAGTGGACGGTTTGTTTGACCTCTTCCACTGATTCAAAATTAACTCCTCCAAGTTCAGATTTCAGGAACGGGAATAAATGGTGGTCTGGTTTGCTATTTATTATCGTATCTGAAATCTGAACTCGGAGGAGTTAATTTTGAATCAGTGGAAGAGGTCAAACAAGCCGTCCACTCTTTCATCCGCGGTCAGCTGAAAGACTTCCACGCACGAGGCATCCAAAAGCTGTTCTCTTAGTCTTAGTCTCAGTATCAGACTTGCTTGGATCGAGCTGGTTATGTGAAGAAGTGAGGTAAGCCCCTTATTCTACAAAAATTTCTTTGATTTTTCGTCAGTGATGAACGACTAGGGCTTTGGCAGAGAAGCTCTTCTCCTGTAGCGGACTTCAAATCCTCGCGGATTCGGCGGGAGCGTCGAGCACCTCGGCGCGTTCAAACGGCTCGCGTTCGGCCGCACATGGTCCGATTTTGTTGCGGTTTGTTTCGTTGAACTCAAAATATCCTAAGGAAGATTTTGAGCCCAAGTCTTTTAAAATTGGTCCATTTTAATGGATTTTAGAGAGGGGGGATACTTACTTATTGAACGCCCCTCGTATAAGCGGAGGCTTCATCTTCACTAGAAAAGTCTTTACTGACTTTCTGAGGAACAGTTGGAAAAATGACAGTGGATGTTTGATCATTTTATGTATATATAAAGTTCCAGGAACACACGCGTTTGAGTCGAGACAGGGAACTTCGGTCGGTGCAACAAACTCGCAACAGTTGCACCTAAGGCCTTGTCTCGACGGCGCAACTCTGTTGAGGGAAATTGGCGCAACTGTTGAAGGAAGGAAGTGTCTCAAAAATGTTTCACTTATAAGTGAAACTTTCAAGGTCAGAAATCTGGAACCTCAACAGTTGTTTACCTTCGATGTTTTGAATTGATAAACGCTGGTTACACGTGAAGCGGGAGTGTATTACGGGTGTTTTATTTCGGAGCGGTTATTATTCAGAAATATTTGTACATATTTCAGTATCAATTTTATATTTTCGTTTGTAGCATATCACTACAGCAGGAAAATAAAATTTTATCGAATATATTTTCTTCTTATCCATATCTGAGTAATGTTATTGTTTTTTGTTTTATACCTGGTCGACATAACGCAAAATATTCACCTCCCGTTCATAATTATCAGTTCAATTATCTCAATTGACATCGTTTAACCTAGAAAAATTAATATTGTTCAAATATTCCCGCCTCAAAGTTCCAGGAACACATGCATGCGCGTCGAGACAGGGAATTTCGGTTGGTGCAACAAACTCGCTGCAGTTGCACCTAATTCCCTCAACAGTTGCGCCGTCGAGACGAGGCCTAAGTGAAACTTACAAGGTCAGAAACCTGGAACCTCAACAGTTGTTCACCTTCGTGTTTTGAATTGATAAACGCTGGTTACACGTGAAGCGGGAGTTTATTACGGGTGTTTTATTTCGGAGCGGTTATTATTTAGACATATTTGTACACATTTCAGTATCAATTTTATATTTTCGTTTGTAGCATATCACTACAGCAAGAAAATAAAATTTTATCGAATATATTTTCTTTTTATCCATATCTGAGTTATGTTATTGTTTTTTGTTTTATACCTGGTCGACATAACGAAAATATTCACCTCCCGTTCATAATTATCAGTTCAGTTATCTCAATTGACATCGTTTAACCTAGAAAAATTAATATTGTTCAAATATTCCCGCCTAAAAGTTCCAGGAACTATCCCAGATAACATCGAACGTTTCAGCAACGTGGAAATCAACGTAGACCTTGAAACATTCCGGGAACGTTTACAATTTCTACGTAGTAATCAACATGGAAGAACAGGGGTGCTCCGAAAACGTCTCACTGGCGACGTAACAGGAACGTGGAAAGGAACGTTGCTCTGTAAACCTAACCTAAAAAGTTAAAATCGCTCTTTCGCCGTTTCGCTGTCTACGTTTCCGGGACGTATAATTCAACGTAGTCCAAAACACGTTGTACTAGAAAAGGCAGCACAGGCAGGACACAGGCCAGGAGCGCCCACTAGGTGGCGCTGCATTTCGCGGCGCAGATTACTCAAAAAGTCTACAGCGCATGCGCAGCCCATGTTGGCACCAATCAAGTTCCTGGAATCAGTCTGATCAGCAAAGGTTGCAACTGCTCGAGAGAGTCCACCATTTGTTATCTTGATATTGCAGTGATTTTCGCAGTTTAATGTTGTGCTTGAAGTGATGCTTATACCTCCGTGTTTTACATGCATAAAAGTTCGTTAATTATCTGGTTTGCACTTACTTGTCTGTTTCTAATTCTGTATCTCAAGTCAATGTCCACAATTTTAACCCCTAGACCTCATGTTCTACTCTAAAACTGAAAAAGCTTATTCCTCCTCTAGTACGTACACGTAAAT